TTTCTTTCCTACTCTTATTTCCCCTGCTTTGCCTCAATTCCCTCACCTATTTTTACATTTTATATTTACTTTCAAAGCTGCTTGAGATTTTTTATGGAACAAGGTCAGTGGGTGTTGTGTGTGTGTGTGTTTGTGTATGTATATATAGAGGTGGGTAAAAGTAGGTTTACAGTTGTTTGTATGGAAAATAATACAATTATTAATAAATAATACCAAAGTAAACAGTGTTTTGCTTACTCACAACTGTAAATCTACTTTTGCCAAACTCTGTGTGTACAAATGGATAAATAAATTAATACAATAAAAATTGGATGGCAAAAGCAATGAATTATGAATAAGAAGGTTTGGGTTTTACTTTGAAGCTATAACTTTATTGTCATTTGACTAATACATATCACAATCTAATTCTCCCCAAATTTTAACTTACATAATGCTTTCTTAAAGATTTTTTTTTTTTGAGAATTAATGGGTTTGAGAGCACTTGGTAATTTGTAAAGTGTTACATACATTTTAAAAATATGATTACATTATTTCAGTAATTGTGTATCGATATCATCTCATGTTTTAATAATATGAATCAGCAAGCGAGTTTTGGTCAATGATGAGAAAAAATGTGTATCAAATTTTATGGGAATGCGTTCTAACGCATTTTTATTTTTAAGTAAAAGATATTACAAGAAGTCTTCACAATTGACAGACAAGCTATTATCTGAAAAAAATTCGAAAACGCAAGCTTTTTGTATCAATCCTTCTTTCAATGAATTTACAACTTAGAGCTTAATCATTAAATATGATTTGAACAAAGATGCCAGAGAACAAAGAAATTCAGTTAACACTACAACTGAGTAATCACGTATTAAATTATATATTAAGCCATTCTATAGTTAATACACCTGAATAAATAAATAAATAAACAAACACACCTGATTAACAAATTTGACTATTGCTCTACAACAACATACAGAGGTAAGCCTAAGCTAAAACTAAAGACTTTCACAGTAACAATAAAATGGCAGTTTTATTTTAATGTACAATATGAGAAATAAGTGAAAAAATGCCAACAATAAGGAAAATCTTAGAGAAATTACCACTTTAAAAGTTTTAAAATTCTGAACTGACAGCTGAAAACCCAGGGGTATATGAGAATCACAAGCCCCAATGGTCAAGGTAAAAACAAGACAAAGTAAAACAAAGCCCAAGAAAACCAAATTCAGAACCATCCAGCAATGTACCATGCTACTTCATCCTTGCACTCACAGAAAACAGTTAAGGTGATGCACAATCCAAACAAAGCAGAATATTTCAATTTTTAAATATTCAATGACTTCAGAATACTTTATTAGATCTTGCATTAATTGAGTTAACACAACTTTAGATGGGAAGATTACCTTTTAACTTGACTAAGAACTATATACTATTTTGAAGAGTAAACCAAATTGTTTCACATATATGAAAATGATATCATCCTGTACTTTTTCTACATATAAAATACTTCCAAATATATATTAACTCATTTCTAAAATCCAATGGCATCTTTTTTAAAAGGGTAAAGAAGGGAAAGACAAGGAAAAAAACAAAAAAATACCAAGTTACATAAGATTTTATCCTCACCCGAAGGCATTTCTTTTTCATTGTTTTTAGAAAGAGACTGGAAGAGGGAGAGAGAGAGAAACATCGACGTGAGAGAGCTGCATTGATCAGTTACCTCCTGCATGTGCCCCAACCGAGATGAAACCCGAAAAGCCTGGGTATGTCCCCTGTCTGGGAATCGAACCTGCAACCTCTCAGTCCATGGGACAATGCTCCAACCAACTGAGTCATGCCAGCCAGGGCAAGTTATATAAAAGATTTTAAAAACAAATGTCACATCATCAATTTCTGAGTTACGTATTTCGTGAAAGGCATTTCTTAGTAGAGAAATCGTATGCGCTGTAAGGCACCTAGTATAATACAATGGCATGGACGCGGCAGATATTCAATAAAATTGTTGTAACTTCTGTTGATAGTTTTGTGGTTGTTCATTTAGCCACCTGGTACAAATCAGCCAGCAGGTAGGGTGGCACTGACCTATGAAACTTTTGAGGCTGGGTAGTGTAAATCAGAAAAAGACTAATCAGAAAAGAGGCCCCATCTAACAATTAACAGATGTCAATCCATAATTTGGCATAAGCTACAACCTTACATTGTTAATAATCTTCCTATACATGTCAGCTGACTCTGAAATAAGTAGGCCTGTGTGGCTTATGCATTCACAGCTCAAATAACATCTGACACTTTAGTAAGAGGTAATCAACAACTTTTTTATACATCTGATGTTTCATAAATTTACGTCTTATAAACTATGTTCTGGGAAAAGAATTACACATTTTTGCCTAAACTCTGTTGATTTCCCATTGCTTGGAGAATACTGGTCTACCTAATTCCTTCAAAAGGAATTCAAAGCACTGTATCAGACTTCCATCCACAACCTTCATTCTAGCCGCAACGATGCAGCACTTACCAAACTCACTATATACTTTTGTGCCTCTAAATACCTGCCAATCTGGTTCTCTGTGCAGTTCAAGACACACGTGCCTATTTATCTGCAAAGCCCACCTCATCAGCTCTTCTGTGCAGTGTTCCCAAAACTGACCACCACTTCGACCACCAATCCTTCTCTCCACTTGGCAGCCACCTTTATTAAAGCGTTTTCACAGATACATTATTTGTCTGCCTTCTCCTTTGTGAAACTTTCTAAGACTCCCATACGCAGAGTTTAGCACTCCATTCATTGTCCAACCTTCTCCCTGGGATGTAATTCTACTCCAACACATAACACAGCACCCTGGAATTATTTATCTTTATCATTACCAACCCTATTAGACTCTGTGCTTCTTCAGGATATCCTCTCATTTATTACTGTATCCCCAGGGCCTAGCTAATACTTGATACACAGTAGGTGTTCAATAAATGTTATTAAATGAATAAACAAACAAGCAAAAAACCACAATTGCTTTCTATCAATCAGAAAACAAACCAACCTGGTAGTAAGCATTCAGCCTCGACACCTGCTTCCTGAGCACCGACGCAGGATCCTTACTCTCCAGCGATGAAACATTAGGAAACGAAAGTGGGTATGCGGCAAACGAGTGTGGCTGAAGGAACTGAGGATGCTGCCCGGGGAGGCGCAGTCCTCCACAAAGGGAAAAGAGAGCCCTTCAAATGTGGGGCAGCCCTCGCCTTAACTGCAGGAGGCTGACTCACACAGCAGAGACCGGTGCTAGAAGGGATGCTTTGCTAACATTCAGTACGACAGATCCTAATAAAAACGCTTCTGCATCTCCACGAAGTGACAGGCAAAGGCCCATTTTCACTTAGAGATTTTCTTTTTTTTAAAAAATAGATTTTGTTTATTTATTTGTAGAGAGAGGGGAAGGAAGGGAGAAAGAGAGGGAGAGAAACATCAATCTGTGGTTGTCTCTCACATGTCCCCTACTGGGGACCTGGCCCACAACCCAGGCACGTGCTCTGACTGGGAATCGAACCGGTGACCCTTGGATTCACAGGCCAGCACTCAATCCACTGAGCCACACCAGCCAGGGGTCACTTAGAGATTTTCTTAGAGAACAACTGACTGGGAATATAACAGTTACATTAATTCTTAACATCAATTATCTGCATGAAAAATTTGATATATATAATTTTTAAGGAAAAGAACGTAAACCAGAATTAATGTGGCATGATGTGAAAAAATTACAGCATTCTAATATGCCTAATCTATGGTACAAGAATATACGCATCTGTGCACATGTATAACACAACAAAGTGTTTTTCTTACACACCTTCATGTTTTAACTTCTGGGCAGTGTAAATCAGAAAAAGACTAAAACATAAAATCTATTGTAAATATAAAAATACATGGGAATGCTCACATAATATGATTACTGAATTTTGCCATATATAATGTGCACTTTTTTGCCCAAATTTTTGAAGGAAAAGTAAGGATGTGCATTATACATGTATCTCATGATTATACACCATGGGTACAATAATCCCGTGTATAATGCACACAAAAACATGGGTACGCATCATACACGGGAGCGCATTGTATATGACAAAATCCGGTTATTCAGCAAGTGCTTGCCAAAACGCTGGGGAACACAGGAGACATGAGCACGCACAGTGTAACGTCACCATTCCCAGGAAACCTGCAGTCCTACTGCAGAGCATTCCGCTACAAGGGACTCATAGAGCTGAGAAAAAATAAGCAAGGATATCACTGAACTTGTCATAAAAAGAAAAATGTAACTACGGCCAATTGATTGTCCTTTTTTACTGAAACAGTTGTCTTCAACAGATTTAAACACCATTTTTACTGGCCACATGGAAGTTGAAAAATTTTATAAACTATACCTCAAGCTATAAACATTTTGAGAACCAAAACTACTTTATAAAGGAAAATAAATACAATGTTACTACATTTTGAAATTTAAAAAAAATCTTCATTTCATAACAATTACATGCTATGCACATATAACATTCTTATAATTATTATTAACATATGCAACATTGTTTATGAAAGTTTTAACTGCTCTTGGCTTCTTTTCTTGCTTTGTCATAAGCAAGACACCTACAATATGCAGATGTTGGCCTTTATGTTAAAAATAAAATTTACCAACAAAAAATGTGGCATAAAGTTTCTATTGACTGTAAAGTATAGTTTGTCTCTCAAGACAGAAGCTTCTTACTCTCCTTTTTGTAATGTAAATGTTAATTTGAGTTATGGACATAAGAATACAGACATATTCAATAGATGTTACCCCTTACTCATTGTTTAAGTTTTGAGAAAACCTTGTTACGTTGTGTTTGATTATAGCTGCCTAAATTGTTTCAGAAAGTAAGCAGATATAAATAATAACTTAATTTTGAACTGAGCAAGACCATTAACTACATTTAAAATTTTTAAAAAATTATTTGTTACTGAAAGTACTTATTTTGCATGCTACCAAAGGCTTCTTTACCTGCAGATGGCTGGGAAACATTCCTGAAGGCCTTTCTTTTTAACTAGAGATCCTTCAAGGCAGTACATAATGATGTCCATAACCTGCATAGAAAAGATACAAATCTAAAATTAATTTCTAATACTTAACTTTCCAAATTTTACATTATTAACTTAGACCTCACTTGCCCGTGGAAATGCTAGACAGTTTAATCGTAATGTTTACTTTAAAACTACAGTATATTTACTTTATACTACAGGCTATTCTTTTATCTGTGAAAAACATTTCTTAGAAAAGGCAATAAAATAAACTACTTATTTCCTTTAAAGGCTATTTATATTTATATCCAGTGTAGCAACTTTTATTCAAACACATTGTGTGTTTTAGTTTATTTATAATGAAAGATGTCAAAGAGAACATGATCTTTAAAAATTACTCAAATGTAGACTCATTAATTCGGTGTGAATGATAAATGGACATAGAAATCATTTTGACTTTTGAGGACAGTTAACTAAGGTCTCCAGAAATGGTACAAAAGTTAATTCATTTTAGTTATCTCTTTCTTTTTTTTAGAGATTTACCTTACTACACTGGACTATTTAGGCTATGGATATGTCATTTCAAACAGGATATTCTTACCTCCACAAGAAGATCCACAACATCTGTGGGCATCTTTTCAATAAGAATTTCGATGACTCTCAGAATCTCCCCTTTAGCTCGTGCGAGAGTTGTCGTGTGCATATTCTGCTGCGATTGGGTATTTGCCGCAAGAGCAGTGTGTCTGTGGACCTGTGAAAACATTCCATGCTGCAGGTGTGCCTGACACTTGGTAGAGTTTTACATCTCTAGCCATTGGTTTGTTTTTCACTTATCACAATAGAAAAATAAAAGAATCAACAATCAGAAATCTCCAAGGATGAGTCAGGAAATTTTTTGATTGCAAAAGAAGGTATTGAGTATGATATAAATTCAGGTAAGTCTTCTCTAATTAAATTTTGTAAGGTCCTGGGTACATGAGGCTTTAATACAATGTTACCACGACATTGCTTTAAAAAGGACTGAAGGCTTGTGAAGCTGGTGTATTTGTCCCTGAAGTGGAGAGCAGTTAAGAGATTCAGCAAATTTAAGACATAATCCTTGCTCTCAAGTAATCAGAGTAAGTGATGTTTATATGGCACCTTGTCTCAGGCAGCAGTTCAGCTGCTTTATAATCCAGTTGGGAAATTCAAATAAACACGCCTTCAAAAATAATAAGCATTGTAAATAATGTAAATTTAGTATGATCCCCCACCCCAATACAAATTGTACGTCTTAGATGGTTCAGCGCGTTCATGGACGCTGGCCCAGCCCTGGACTAGCCAGCGGGAGGGGGCAGGGGGGAGTCAGGAACCCTGTAGTATTTTACTCAAAAACTCTAAGTGAAGTGGAAAACTTGTTTTTAAAAGATTTTTTAAAATTTAAAAAATTCATCACAGGTCAGACAGAGCCCATACCCCATGGACACCAAGTCTGTACAATATTCAGGCTGAAATGGAACAAATCTTTAAAAAAAATTAGGAGCCTATCCTCCTTTTCTGATTCTTCCACTAGTAAGGCCTATAGGAAAGATCCTATAATTGGTTCATTGTTCTCTACTAGGTTTTCAGCTAGATGTGGGCAATTAGTTAGAACACTATGAATGTGGGAATCAATTGGCATTCAAGTCTTTAGTTGTGACATGTAATAGGAAAAATAATTAGCAACTTTATGACTTTTACATTTTGTTTACAGTTGGAGAGCCTGTGTTAAATAAGAGGTTTGGTTTTGATGACAGGTAGATACATTTGTAAAATGTAAAGACCTTTAATATATGGAGGTGGGAGGAGCAATAGTAGTTTACAGTTGTTCATATGAAAAATAATACAATAATTAATAAATAATAATACAAGAATAAACTCTGTTTTGCATACTCACAACTGTAAACCTACTTTTGTTCCACCCTGTATTTTAATTTGAATAAGCTTGCTGTATCAAACTGAAAAATTATTGTGGAGTATTTATGTGTGAATTAACTTCCAGAATAGAAATGAGTAGAAAAGCACAAAGTACTGAATGCACCGCTGTGGAATTCAGGGTGTCTGCCCAGGTACAATGTATTCATCTCAGTACACAATTACTAACTGGCACTGTTAGAGAACAGACTGGAAGGATTAGTTCTGGACGCGGACCCTCAGCTCACAACATCAACCAACGCCTCTGAAGGAGAGGACGGAGCCCTGGAGATGCGCTCACCTCTTTGGCGATCGTGGTGATGAAGGCGGGTGGTCTGGCCGTGGCGATGAGTGAGAGGGCGTGCCTGGCCGAGCGGGCGGAGTCAGCTGCTGGGCTCAGAGGCAGCCCCATTGTGATGCTAAACAGGGATCAGAAAGAAGAAGAAAAAGAAAAGAAGCATTAGAAATATAGACTGAAAAGATTAGACACAGCTTATAATGTCAGTTCAAGGTCAATGGGAGCACTCAAACAGTTAGAATATAATGGACTTGCAACAATGAGCAGTGATTAGGAGTCAGAGTGTTCTGGCATCAAATACAAAATCGAATAATTAACCGTGAAGATTGAAAACAGTATGTGCATCTGTCCAAAGTGTTACAAACGCCTTGTTAACAAATTATCAAGAACTAGTACTGAATACATATCACAAAGCTCAGAATAAGGCAGGAACAAATATTTTGCTGGGCATTCTCCATTTTTTCCCTAAAAAATGTTAAAGGTAATTTGCTTATGATGCTGCATTAACAGGCTATATTTAAGGCTACATATCTAAAAGGGAGCAAAATTCACTCCTATCCATAAAATTATCACAAGAACTGAGAATGACAAAATTATTTTTAGCTTGTATACCTTGTATACTATTTTTAGTTTAAAATAGCCTTTGCACTGCTAGTTTAACCCCACACTTACTGCTTAGAACCAATCCACTAATCAGTATGCTCTGCCAATAGTTACTTACTATTAATGAAAAAAATTACAGCAACTGATATGTAGCCTGGCATTGTCCAGGCAATACATAAGAATATGTACATGATAAAATAAATCTTTCCAAACTGTGAGAATGTCCTAATAGGGTAGTGACGTTATTTATATTCCTTTGCCAACCCTAAAACATACAAACAATACTTTTCTGTTTCCTAGCTTCCTTTACACAGACTGCTCTGAAAAGTATTGACTTTTAAATTAAAATGCAGCATGTCGCTCACACATTAACTGTATACAAAGTGTATTTTGTTATTAAGAGACCCATTCATATTTTCTCCCTCTAGTTAAATAACTTTTATATTTAAAAATCCCTATGAAGTCACAAGATCTGTCCTGCTCTAATTAAACAAGTCTGTGTGCTTTGTGTAAACTGGATTATGTTTACTAAAAATTCTCAAAAACTTTACAGGTATTTCTATAATTTACCTAAGAATCATTATTTTGAGTTTTAGTTGAAAATTAAGATGCATTATATAGGCATTCTCATCATTGTTAAAAGAAAGTACAGTGATTATAGAAAATTCTGCTTACAATTTCCTTGTGACTGTTATGCTGCTTAAATCTCTGAGAATATAAGTGTCAAAGCAGAAACACAGAGCGGAGATGATGGTGGATCTTCCTTTGATTTTTTTTTTCAAGTATATTTTATTGATTATGCTGTTTCAGTTGTCCCAATTTTTCTCTCCCATTATCCCCCCTCCCTCCAACATCCCCACCCCAGTTCCTGTCCATGGGTCGTTCTTTGGCGTCTCCATTTCCTATACTATTCTTAACCTCCCCCTGCCTATTTTGGGCCTACCAATTATGCTTCTCATTCCCAGAAAGATGTGATCCCAGAGGACAGACACACACATTGAACGACAGACAGAAGGCAGGCGCTGAGGGGCGCGCCACCCCAAGGCAGATCCCATCGCCAGGGGTCCCGGGAGGTGCTCAGCAGGAGAGCAAGGTGGGGCAGCTGAGCGAGTTTCTTTCCTGGATTAAACTTTAATTCTGAGGATTCGGTAAAAGAAATGTTTACTACGTGAGTAATGTTGGGGCTGGATTGCTTAATAATTATAAAGTGTAGATCTTATTTTAAGTCAGGTTGTAAGACATTCAAACGCTCATTAAACTTTTCAGATAAACTCTATGTCTCCCTTTTTCATCAATGCAAATGGATAGGTGCTGATGATACTGACAGGCTAAAAACAAATAAAAAATGGTACATTAATTGAATAATTCTAAACAAACCTAAATCAAATTTTATAAGATCAATAAAAATCACAGAATAGAGGAGTTGGAACGGATCTCTTAGTAGCGTCCCTGCGGAGCCAGGGAAAGTGTTAGGGAGGTCGGAGACCGTGACACGGGCTGCGAAAGAGTTCCCCAAGAGAGGAAAGTGCAGACGGTAAAGGGTTTATTGTTACTTTCCCAAGGGAGGGAAAGGGCTGGGTGCACCAGCACCAGCACTGAGGGGTTGGGGCTGTGAGTTTCTGTCGGGTGAGGGGTGGTTGTCGAGCAGGAGGTTTCCGTTGGGCCGCCCCTTTTTTTGATGTTATCTTTGGGTGCAGGGTCCGGTGGTCATTGTGGTCTGGTCCGTCCTGCTCGATGGTTCCAAGAGCCTCTGCGCCTTCAGGGCGCTTCCAGTAATTTTCTAGTCTTGAGGACAAAGGCTCATGAAGCAATTAGGGTCGATCATGCCTCTTGGGGACCAGCAGGCTCTGGGAAGGAGGGCCCGAGAAAGTGGCTTTTGTCCTATTAAAAAGGAGAGTCTATCTCCTGGTCAGCCTATCCCACTCCTGGAAGGAGGATACAGAGGAAGGAAACTGGACATGGAACCCAAGGGCTACGTTTGAAGTCAGACTCCGGTGCTATCTATCATTGCATGTTGCCTGTGTCTGCCCCCAAACATCCCTACAAGGCAAGTGACATCAGCATGTCATGGAGAAATCATGTCCAGAGAAGTTTTGTGCTGAGCCTAGGTAATAGTGATGTCTTTCAGAATAGCTGACCTTTGGAGAAACGTGGGGGAAGGGCCTTGATAATATTATAGTTCGCCGAATTCATGAACTGGTAATATAAACGAACTCAGTGGCTCTGGGTGAATGGATTGCATCCCTAAGAGAAACTGCTAGTAGTGTGCCGCATTACTTGGACTTCAGCTCTGTCTTATTCAGTACCACGAGTGGTTTGAATAAAGATACAGGCTGCAAGGTTATCAACTAGTGTGGATGGATATAAAGTTGTCACAGAAAGCAGCTGTGGTAAGGGTTGGTGAGGGGTGGCGGGGTCTAGAAGCTATAGAAAAATGGGGAAGGAAGCTCACCAAAGACATACGATTTTAAGCATTGCCCATGGAGTCCAGTGGAAGCTGGAACAGCCAACGTGTTGAAGAGGCGTCAATGTGAGCGTTGAGTGTTTCCCACCAGCAGCGTGGCAGCCTGGGCACACGACTGCACGAAGTGACAGCTCTGTTGTTCTGGGGCCAGGGCTCTGCAGAGACCTCCAGAGCTCGCACAGTGTAAAGGCGGGAGGGCTGTGAGTGTGGTAACAGAAAGGAGTTGCCAAGGCACCGGGGAAGAAGAGAACCCTTGTCTCTCTCCTCTACGGTCTGTTCAACGTGCCACTCTCAAGGCAATCTTTCAAGAGCAGCGGCTTTATCTCCTGGTTAGCCTGCTTAAAAACGCCCAGTGGCCCCAACTGCTTCTAAGAAAAATCTTCAACTCTTTGGTGTGAGACTCTGACCCTCCATGTCTCGTTTCACTAATTTATAACTCAATCTTCTCAGCGTCAATGCTCCAGAGGCAGGCTAATTTCAAAGTTGGTCCCTAAAATTCTGTTCCTATTTCTATTGTAGTATTTTGCCAATGCCTCTCCCCTACCGTTTTCCCTCCCCTTTGTTCAATTCTGTGGAAGCCCAGATGGTATTCAGCGACTGCTATAGCACTCAGTTACTTTCTGCTGAAACAAAAACAACTACCATTGGTACCCCTGCATTCTGGGCCCTCAGCCTTGACCCCCATCTGCCAGGCGGTATGAGTTAGTTTTGTATTGTGAACTCCATACAGATTAGGAGTGTGCCTCCTAAGCCTCTGTTTCCCCCCAAAGTGCCTAGTACAGCCCTTGGACAAAGTGGTGGCTCAACAGTTATGCACTAAATGAAGTTACCTGGCAAATGCAGCAGGAAAAAAAAATCACTTAAGCCAGCTATTTGACTGAATTGACCAGGCAGTGAAGTCAAAGTAATTGATCTGGTTGTCCCAACAGACACGGTCTCATTCTGCATGTAGTTATCTTTAAAGTCAAGAGTGCACCGTGTGTGGGACTCTAAATGAAGAAGGATCGTATTATCAGAGGTTTGAAATTAAAGAGGCATCTGCCTTATTCTGGAATCTGTATGTAGGCACAGAACTCACTCTTTTCATCTGATTCTGCTTATCTGGCTGTTGTGCATACCATTTATCATACGAGTTTATAGGTTGGGCCGTTGGTTCAGTCTTCATTCTAAAAGAATACGATATGAGGCACTCTCTGTTTTACTCAGCATTTCAGTATACACATCCAATATGAAATACTAGAGATGATAGATATTAGAAATAAAAACATGAATAGAAAAATGGCCCACTCAGGCGGCGCTCATTCCTTACACGGCTGCTCATTCATCCTGTTCTAATCCTCATTCCATTGCAGTAAAAGCATTTTAGAAGTTACAGGGAAGACCACTTCAGTTAAATGTCACCGTCTGTGACGGTCAGACTTCCCCATCTGTCAAATTGAGGAATACTGTGAGGGGACGTTCAGGGGGAAAAACACTTAAACTTCCATTGCGCAGTCCGCCAATCATGGTCAGCAGTGTTACGGATTAAATATTTGTGTATCCCCCTTAGATTTCACATCATGGAACCCTAACCCTCATTGTCATGGTGTTTGGAGATGGGCCTTTGGGAGGTTATTGGGGGTCAATGAGGCCACGAGGGTGGGGCCCTCGTGATGGGATTAGTGGCCTACAAGAGACACCAGAGAGCTTGCTGGGTCTCTCTCTCCTCAGTCATGAGCACAAAGAGCTCATGTGAGGACACAGCAACAAGGAAGAGGCCTCAGAAGGAATCGCGCCTGGCCAGCATCTCCATCGTAGACTTCCAAGCCTCAAGACCTGTGAGCAATACATTTCTCTTGTTTAAGTCATCAAGTCCGTGGTATTTTGTTATGGCAGCCCGAGCTGACTAGAACCAACAGTAACAGGGTACCAAAAACACTCCCCATTGAAAACAAACACTTAACATTATTTTGAAAATGCATGCTTAGTTACAGAACATCTGGGAATTCCTGCTTATCCCTTCCTGGTAAGAGAGGTGTGTTAACAACTGTCTTTAATGTAATAAGGAATATTCAATTCCTCTCTGTCATATCGGACCTTAATTTGATAATTCATAGGTGACTTTAATTCCCTTAACTCAAAGATGACAATTCCTCCAACAAGTGCTTATTTTTTAGGCCCATGCCCTCTATGTTGCATACCTTCACAACATATTTATTGTTATTGAGCACAGTGGATGAGAGACAAGATTCATATTGTTTTCATCTGCAAAATGGAGGCAATAATGCCTATTTCCTGAGCCTCCCTGTATTTAGATGGGAACATGTGTGGTGTGTGCAGCAGAAGAACTCACAGGGAGCGAGCATTCGCTAGGAGGACGGCATTCCACACCTCTTTTCCCGCATGCTGCCAGCTATGTGGCAGGTGCCGAAAGCAAGGAGAAAAAAAATCACTAGCACTCTTTTTATAAAGCAAAAGGTAAAACCAATGTTCTCTCTGACCTAAGTCTATTCCCAGCGGTAACCAGGAAGGACGTCATCTGGAGCTGAGATGGGAGCATCCCATGGTTTAAGTTCTGTGAGGCATTAATGAATAAAATTCATTAATAGCAACACTTATTGTACTTTCACTCTCTAGCATCTTTGGGGCACACCTGTGCTGTGCCACCTCTGTCCTTTTGCATGTCCTTGTCCTCACCCTCCTGTCCTCATAAGCATCTAGATGAAAGAGTCACGTGAAGCTCGCCCTTGCACACCCTCGGGTCACCCAGCTATCTGTCTCTCCTTGTGCTCTGAACGCACACGGACCTCTTCCTCTCCTGCTCCCTTTGCATCCTGCCATCTCCAGGCAGGTCTAACCTCTCCTGTAAGATGGCAAGGGAGTCAGAGACGGGAAACTTTGTTTTCTGCTGCTTTATAACCATGCATAATATCTAACACTGTCCCTTCCACACATTCGCCACTCAATAAATGCTTGCTTACTTAATAAACAGAGTTTAAGATTTGTCAAAATATTTTAAAGCATTAGAAAATACCTGGTGAGATTTTGGTTTCAAAGATGTAAAATTCTAAGTCATGTTTCTAAAATAAAGGCATCATTAATTCTGGAAAATGCCCTATTCATTTTGAGCCACACAGAGTTTCTGCAGGAGAGCTCCCAGGAGTCGTCTCTGCTAGAGGATGGCGATGCGCAGGAGAGGAAGGACTCTAGGCAGCAGCCTACATTAGGCAGCTACACTGGGCAGCAGCAGGCCGCTCCTTAAACCTCTTCCTTCCCTCCTAAACTCGCAAAAATGGGAATAAAGCGGGGAACACTCACAGCCTGTGTGCTTTCTTTTTCAATAAACGTGACCTGAAATTTCAAAAAGCGTACACTTCTTAATAAAGCGAGCTTAGCGCCGCAGTCCGAAGCAGGCGGCTGGCACTGTAATTGGTGTGCACGTGACTCAGGAGCACAGGGCTGGCCTGGGAGGGCACTGTGAGCATGGGAGGTGCACGTGACCCACACATGCTGCTGCTCCCTTTCTCCCCATCCCAGTCCTTCTGCAGCCTGTACCCAGTGTGTCATGGCTAGAATGGGCCATTTTCAATCTAAATCTTGTTATAGATTAATAAGCAAACATTTTCTTGCTTATTATGCAATTTATCATGATGAAAATTACATTGGACTCCTCAAGGCTAAATGCTGATACATTCATTTATTCAGAGCAGTGTATAAAGAGTCATACTAATCTTCATGACAGAAAAGGATATAATAGCAAGGTGTAAATTACCTACTGAAAAACTATAGCATTTGTGCCTGTAGACATACTGCATGTATTTAGATAAAACACAAGCGCATCTGTAGGTTTGCTGATACAAGCTTCATGTAAACTTTTTACTTAAAAACAAAATATTACATACTAAACCTAAATTAAAAGCCCATCCCTTCTCTTCCCAGGCAACAAAACAAGAGTGGGACACCGTTGAAACTGTGTTTAGATCAGGTTTAAAAATAATCTAAAATATTAGATTAAAATAAAATTTTAGACAATCAAAAAATATTAAAGGACACCAGGGAGCTGTAGTCACAGAAGCCAGCACTGGACACTTTGGAGGGTATCTCTGGCGCATGTGGCTGAGGGGAGGGCAAAGGCTGGAAACTCGTTCTGGGGCTTCGCACAAAGGCCAGCGGCCTCTGACTACTGCTGCTGCAAGCGCATGGGCTGATATTCCCTTCTAACCCTTCCAGGCGATCTAGACCCTCCCAACCTTCAGTATCCATAAACTATCCTGGCTACCGTTATGCCTATGGTTCATTCCAGAAATGGGCAGCTCTTGATCTGCCGAACACTAGGACCACAACAATGGCTCCACCACCACCTAGGTAACATCCTTTTAATCTCCTCATAGGTGCTAATGCTCTCCTAAGCACTTTGCAAATGTACTCATTTCACAGCAACCTTATGAGGGAGGCACTTTACTTAGCCCCACTTACGGAGGGAGCTGAGGTACAGAGATGAAGTAACTTGCTGAAGGGCCTACAGCCAGGGAGACGCCGAGGTGCAGTGCAGGAGCAGGCGGGTAATGAGATGACAGGTGGGGACAGCTGCCTATTTGAAATACCTTCCTCCTACAATAGAGCTTGGGATTTTGGGCTGGGACTGCCCAGTCTGTAGACAAAGCCAAGCCTTCAAGTCTAGCCCTCACTTGTTTCTTTGGCCTCCATTTCTGAGCACAGAGCAGCCGTCAGAAAGGCTACAGCACAAAGGATGCTGGGACAGAGAGAATTGTGGGCAAAGAACTCCAGTGTTTTGTTAAAGATTAATAACGCTAAGAATGAAATCCCATCCATTGAGGAAATCAAAGAGGTGATCACATTCACATTAAGGGAGGCATCAGAGGACAGTTCAAGAATTCCTACCACTGGGAATTCATACTCACAACCAGAAAATAAGTGTTGGTGAGGATGCGGAGAACGTGGAAGTCTTGTACACTACTGGGAGGAATGTGAAATGGTGCAGCCACTGTGGAACATAGTGCTTCCTCATTAATAGTTAAACACAGAATTACCATATGACTCAATTCTACTTTTAGGTGTTTACCCAAGAGAAATAAAAATAGGTATTCAAACAAATACCTGTGTATAAATGTTCATAGCAGCATTGCTCACAAAGACAAAAGATGGAAACAACCCACATGTCCATCAACAGATAAATGGACAAACAAAATGTGATACATCCATGAACGGACTATTATCCAACTACAAAAAGGAAGTCTCGATACATGCTACAACATGGATGAACCTTGGAGACATGCTAAGTGAAAGAAGCCCGGCTCAGAAGGCCACATACTGCGTAATTCCACTTAAGTGAAATGTTTAGAATAGGCAAATTCATAGCGATAGAAAACATCAGTGAGTGCCAGGGACTGGTGTGTGCGGGGAGAACGGGGAGTGACTGCTTAATGGGAATGGAGTTTCCATTCGGAACAACTGTTTTCAGGAGCTCGATAGCAGAGATGGTCGTATAACCTTGTGAATGCACTTAAAGACGCAGAATTATATACTTTAAGATGTCTAGAGGGGTAAATTTCACGTTGTGTGTGTGTTATACCATACACACACACACACACAAACCCAAACCCCCAGAAAACTTCCTTCAGGAATCAGGAGGCTGAGTTCTCAAGTCAACCCTAACCTCCCCCAGCCTCCAACTCCTAGCCATTGGTGACCAAAGGTGTCCATTTCTTTGATCTGAGCACCTCCCTCAGCTCCCCTTCCTATTCTATCAGTCGCCCCACTGCTTCCCTGGATCACTGCAACCTCCTAGGACTGGTCTTCTACTGGTGCAAATAAAACCTCAATAAAGCTGATTTTAAAATTAAAAGAGTGTAAAGAAGTAATTCCCCAAACTATTTGGTCATGTGTTCTATCAGTAAAACATTTTGGGCAAGTATAATATGTACCACTTTCCTTATAAATAATATGTATATCCTATTATTAGCTAATAATCACAGTAAACGATTTTAAAACTGTTACTGATCGATCATTGACTCAATGCTAACCCCCAATGCTGTTAAAATTACAGGAATACACTTCCCTTTCGTTGTCCTTATCCAAAATTTCATATATTGATATATTTGCTTATTTTTCTGTCAAAACACTCACAATTTATAAAGGGTAACTGAGGACAAAGAACAGAACAAAAACAAATTATTAATTAGCTGGAACTGAGCACATACTTGGCAAGCTGCTTCTCAGCATCAGCACAAAGTTCTAGCAGCCCCATGAGCACGGCAGACACATCCATGTACGGCTCCCACACTGTGAACCCGCGTCCGATCAGGTCGATGGCCGTCCTCCGGATGGTGCTGTGCGGGGGCAGTTTGGGGCTCGGCGGCTGCAGCAAGAGGAACGTCAGTGCCTTGCCTACAGTGACAAAATAAAAGGCAGAGCAATAAAGTCATTTTACTTTTGTGATATTTTCTTTAAAGCATATTTGCAAGATATACACCACGTTGGATTTCTTTCTTTCTTTTTTAAACTGAAGTTGAGTTTTCAACAGTGAAATTTTAAGAGATCTCATGTTTATAGTATGCCTAGCCACATACATTAGATGCAGGGGTGTCCAAACTTTTGGTGTCTCTGGGCCACACTGGAAGAAGAATTGTCCTGGGCCACACATTAAATACACAAACACTAACAAAAACTGATGAGAAAAAAAAAAAAGATTTTAAGTAAATTTACAATTTTGTGTTGGGCCGCATTCATAGCGATCCTGGGCCGCATGTGGCCCATGGGCCATGGGCTGGACACCTCTGTGAGGGATAATTTACATAGGTTACAATATCTTATGCCATATTCTGAAGTGTGTTAATACATAAAAATTATTGTAAGTATACACAATAAACTTCCAATGTTTCTTCCTACTTAGCATTCTGGAAAATGGAGATGACTTCAAATGATATAACATGGCATTTCTCACCATTCTCCTGCACCTAACAGAGTTCATGTGTCAAACACGTCCCACTGGTGACACATCTGATTACAGGCGATGTTCGCCCACAGATGAGGGATGGATGGAGAAGGCAGAATGTGCAGCTTGAGACAGTGTCCCCGCCTAAGCATGTACGTCCCTCCACATTCTGGTGCTCCGATTGAGCATGATGGTGCCAGGGGCGCGCTACATTCTTCACGCCAATTAGTGAAATTAAAAAACAGCTCCATATGACGTTTAAAGGTGTCGAAATGATCGAGATTTTAATTAACATGTATTGCTTTATGTTGAAGATAACACTGACAGTTTGAATACATGCACCTAGTGGCGATTAGGCTGCAAAAGCCCATCTACTTCAAAAGACATTCTGACATGTAACAAAGAAAAACATGAGGGATTGCAAAGAGCGGACTGCAATTTAGAAGTGGTTTGTTTGTTTGTTTGTTTTTCTGAGGGGAAGAGACAAAACAGTTTATACACCATAGAACAAGAGAGCATACTGGATAGGGGAACTCGGGCTTCAGATTTAAGACAGAGAACTAACTACGGTGTCATAACTTCTTAGGGGGCAGGCTTAGGAAGATACTCAGTGAGCCTCAGTTTCCCTGTCTGTAAAATGGGGGTAATACCAACCTCTCATAAAGCCCCTGAATGTGAAATGAGTTTCTCAGTTAATGGCAGTTGGGGCTCATTATGAAAAACATGTGGAGCTGGTCTGTCTTCAAAATTAAGAAGATGATGTATAAGCTTCAATGCATTCAACAAAGAAAAACACTTATGTTACAGCTGACTGTTAAATGAGAAGGGATTGAAGTGGAGGTGAAGAGAGGCGCAGGGCACTGCAAAGCCAAATACGTGGCTGTGAGTGTGGTCTGTTCATCCGTGGGTCTGCACCTCTTCTCAGGCGCAGAACCTTTAAGAGCCTGTTGAAGGTTATCAACCCTTTCCCCAGGAAACTATACACATATGCTTATCTACCAAATCCTGCAGAAAATTCTTGAGGAGGCCACGGGCCTTGAGTTAACGATGGCTGCAGGAAACATCGAAGGTACCTACACGGGAAAGCCTCCTTGAGAAACCACCCCCACGTTCATACTTCATTCGTCCTGTGTAGATTCTATTCTCATGCTTAGCCGTGCAAATGTAGGATGGAAAGCTTCCCACAGCAAGTGTGCGGATCACAATATCGACTCCTTAAAAAAAGTGATCCATTGTTCTCCACTTTCTGCCAGCACTTTACCACAGAATCTTTTTAAATATTAGCACTGCTGTGCACTTCCCTTTTCCTCGGCATGTTTGTTAGCTTCTTGAGGGTAGGGACTGTTTCATGGAACTTTGCGTCTCCCCAAACAACCAAGCAGAGCTTTGCACACAGGATGGGTCTAATGGAAAATAAATCTGCCTTTGTGGCCTGTGCATTTCTCACGCAGCTCCCTGCCCCAGTTTGTCAGAAAAATATTTCAAAATGTCAAGAAGTCTACTGCTCTCTGTTTAGTCTTTACTTTGGGGAAGCTGCAGCAGCTGCAGAGAAACCTGCGCACTATTCTCTGCAGGCGGCCTGGAACACCGCAGCAATGGCGTCCAATCCAAGGGCTAGGGCTCCCCAGGGAGGTATCCTGGGTAAGTAATATCGCAACGGGGAAGTAAAGTTTCCTAAGTACAGTGTTTTATAGCATTTCCATCATCATGTTCCTTTACGGCACTCCACCTTTTCTGTATTCGTGACAGGTGGGAGCGCTCCGGCAATACTAGCGACCTGGCTCGTTTCTCCTGGCCCCTGGGGCGGGACCTCCAGAGGCAGCTTCCTCACCACTCTGACAATCCTTTCCTGACAGCAATAATGAACAACAAGTGGCCAATTTCTTCATATTTTCCACCATTTTCCTGACAAAGTGGGAAACACAGCAGAGGGGATGTGATCACTTGCCCTCCGATGAAATGACAGAAAAGGGAAAATAGCACGGGTTCTCCGAGAGTCCCCTGGGCCTGCAGGGGCTGTGGCAGAGCGTGACCTCCCCTCACAGTGAGGGTGCCAGCCCGACAGGAAAGGCAGGTTCTCTGCAGCGCTGCCACCTCGCCCCTGAACTCGCTCCCAGCCAAGTCTACAGCGTCTCTCCTTCTTCAGTTCAACTCAAAGTCTGCGCAACACAGAGCAAAGAGCCCCAGAGTCCTGGCAGGCCAGGTGGGGGTCGGGGGTGGGCGTCAAGAGAAGCAGAGAGAAAAATGGCCTTGTTGATGCACAAATTTTAAATTTGCTAGTAAAAGTATGACTTTTTTCCTTGATCTGCTTTGGAATTATAAAGACATACAAATGTTAAAATTCCACATCTGTCTCTGACACCTTATTCCAAACAAAACATGTAAAAAATAGCAAATGAAGAGGATTTTCAAGTTAAATCTTTCTTTTCTAGCCTTGTTGGTCAATAGGGTGCTTATTACTTTAATGCTACTGTCAGTATGATACTGATATTCTGAAGGAATATTCTAGAAGCCTAAGACTTCAAATTTCTAATTATATATTCTTGCTGACACTAAGGGACCAACTTTTAAAGAATGTATGATAATAAGAAGTGATAAATAAATCTATGCTTTCCTCAACTTTTAATTCCATATAACATAGGTGTTCTGCAAAATCGACCAAGGTGATGAAAAAGCTAAAATTATGATAATGATAGTACCCTCCCTATTGATAGAAAAGGTCTCATGACTAGAATGTTATGAATTTGAACTTTATCTGTCAGAAGTTTCTTAAGTTCCTGGTACCCAAGGAAGGTTGTATTGTAACCTCTATAGGATCAAATCTAATTTTGTACAGAAACACAGATTTTTCTTATTTTATATACATGCCCCACTATTCCGCAGCACCTCACTGAGTGAGCAAGGTGGGCAAGGATGCTGCCATCTGCCGTCGCAGTGAATTCCCTCATGAAAACTCTCCAGTGGCAGCACTGAATGTTCAACAAACTGGCCTGGCATTCATTCAAGGCTTTCCACAAGCTGGTCCCAGTCTATCCTCCCAAAGAGTCACCTAATAACTATTCACAGGGTATTGTTATGTTGTACTACGCGCTGGGGAAACAAAAGTGCAGTTCTTCCCCTCAAGGAAATTCATTCTAGTTCAGGGGGTAGGCGAGCAACCAGGTAATCTGACTATATTGGGATGAGTGTTCTACTTATAAGCATAAGTTATCATGACAGAACTTATCAGAGGTACTTAACCCCACCTTAGGGGTACGAGAAGGCTTCCAGGAAAAGGTGAGCTCTACACCAAAACCCGAAGGAGTCAGCCACTCAGAGAAGTGGAGAACAGAAAGAAGACACTCCAGGCAGAGAGAATAGCTGATGAAGGGCCAGGAAATGAGCAAGAACAGAGCAGGACTGAGGGATCACACGAAGCACAACATGGCAGAAAACTGTGTTGGGGGAATGAAAGGGGTGGAGGCAATGGGCAAGGGGGATAAAATATAACAGTGAGACAGGAGGCAGGACAGTCTCTTAGAGCCTGACCACAAAGGACCTCATGTGCCATGCAGAGTTTGTTTATTCTGGGGATGATAGGGAACCACTGGAAAGTTTTAGTCAAGAAAGAGGTATGATCAGATTTTCATTTTACAAAATCAGTACTTGGGCTGCCTTGTGATTACAAAGGGGCAAGCCCATTGCCTTATTATGGTCCACTCATCCCCAGACAGATGGATTAATTAGAATCATAGGATTTTCTAATTAAAAGGACTTTGGAAAAATCTGGCTTATCCCTATGTTTTGGATGAGGGGGTTGAGAACCACGGAAGGCCAGTGCCTAGCTGCAGGCCTGGGGACTCGTCCAGGCCTCTTGGGGATGCGTGGAGGCCTCTGCGGCCCAGGCCGCTTGTAATAACCAGCACCCTTGACAGCGGCGTTTTACTCATGGCGCTCTACCCAACCACAGATACAAAACTATATCCTTTCCGATCGCTCTCTGCCCCCTCTGAATTAGGAAATAATTTAAGCAGCAGTCACCAGTGTCTCTGCAAAACAGGAGATAAACTAAATCATGTGTTTTGTGTTTTCTCACACAGTGCAATTCTTGATTCAGCAGCTCAGTACAGCCATGCCAAGTTCTCCTAACTGTCTTGGCTGTACCTTCCCTGCATCGTGGCCACAAACTTGTTAACTGCACACCCAGCACCGCACCTGCCTCCCAGGCAGGGAGAGGGAGAAGGATGAAGGGCAAAAGAACATGGGCCAGGTAAGCCAGCCCCCTTTTAAAGTCTGATTGCATTTCATTGGCTGGAATCATGTCACATAATAATCCCCCTGGTTTCAGGGAAGGATGGGAATGTAGCTTGTCACCTAGACCCACAGCCGTCTTCAACAAAACTGAGGATTTGTTCACAGGGAAGGGGAGAGTGGAGCTGCACTGGTAGCTAGAAATTTCTGCCACATCTTCCCT